CCAACGTGCTGGAGGTGCGGGGAGGAGAGGGGCACGACCCTACACATATGGTGGGAATGTACCATGATTACCCCACATTGGGAGATGATCCGACAGAAAATATCCGAAATCCTGGGGGAAACACCAGAATGGTCGGCAGCATTGTCACTCAGACATATCACGGAGATGTTGATAGCGACCTATAAAAAATCGATCATGCGCCATCTGCTCAACGCAGCGAAAGCCCTGATCCCGGCATATTGGAAGAAAACAGAGATACCTCGAGAAGAGGAATGGATCCACAGGGTAGAGGACATTCAGGGTGCGGAGGCAGTACAAGCCTCCTTGCTTGGTAGAGGGGACAAACATGGTTTGTATTTATATCCCGTAACCGCTAGGATGGTGGGCGAGATGGGGGGGGGGGACACCTGTGAAGGGGCCTAGCCCAAGAGATGCGGCCGGACTATGTACCCTACCCCATTACGGCTACCCAGGGACAGGGATCACTGTGTCCATCAGAACTGGTCCATCAGGGTGGAATCGGAGACCTAGCGCTTCTGCTCTCTCTCTCCTTGCAACTGCACTAAAGACTATTGCTCTGTAACTGCACACTTACGCGCACACTAAGACTACAAACCTACGTGACGTGGAGCGAGATACAGGCCCAGGAAGAGATCACTCTAGACATACTTGGGAGGAAGATACGGCAGCTTCCCACTCTCGACAGCCACCAACTCAATTCCAACCCCAGGGATAAACATAAACACCAGGGGGACTGAATAAATTGAGGGGAGATGGCCACGGAACCCAGACCCTACCCATATGTCTAGGATTGCTGATGATGCTAGCGAGAGTTCCGGAGGTTAATGGAAGAAGTCCACTATTAAACTGACTGACACACACGACTTGACCAAGGACCCACATCCACGAACCACCAAGTTAATGGCAGGACCCAAGGGGACTAAGGGTTGGACCACACTAGAAGGACGCAAGAATACTGAAGGAAAACCAAAACTTTATAAGTAGAGGACAAGGGGAGGGGGGAGACAGATACCCTCGACTACACCAAGCCCGATAACCCATCACTCACTGAATGCTAACAACACATATCCAGGTGAGACTCAAATTCGCCAAGAATAGCGATCGATGTACTGTATTGCATCTCATCTGAAACAGATCAAAATGTTTTAAATACAAAACGGGCCTGCGAGCCCGAGACACAGTTTATGTCTGTATTGAATCTCATAACCTTTATCTTCTATGAAAAATAAAAATGATTCTCAAAAAAATAAAATAAAACATATTAGCCCAGATATTGAACACAGTGATGATGGACCTGATCCACTCCAACCAATCAGGCTTTATGCCCATCAGGTTGGGGGAGGATAATACCCAGAGTCTTTAACATCTTGGACGCAATACATCAGAGAACTCTTGGTGGCCTTAGATGCCAAGAAGGCATTTGACAGAGTCAACTAGTCATTTCATGCGTAGACCCTGCAGACGTTTGGTATAAATGGTCTATTTTCTGAGTTGGCTATGGCACTTCATACGAAACCCAGAGCGAAGATTACGAGTCCTTCCCTAGCCTCTGAGTATTTTTCCATCCGAAATGGTACTTGACAAGGGTGCCCTTTGGCCCCATTGCTCTATGTTCTCACAATAGAGCCCTTGGCTGAGTATCTGCGCAAATCCCAAGAGATAAGGGAGACAGAGATAGGGAACACACCATAAAGCTTTATGCTGATGATGTTCTTCTTTCACTATCTTCCCCTGAATTATCATTCCCGCTCTCCTGATTGCTTTCGATAAGTATGGTGCCCTTTCGAACTATAAATTAAACCTCCTGAAAACCCAGATTATACCTCTATATTTGTCAACGCAATTGTGGTCGGTATTAACAAGATTTGACCCAAATAAACACATCTCACCAGATTGACTACCTAATGATTAAGATTTGCCCCAGCCTGGAAGACATCGTCTTCCCTTAAATTATACGAACATGCTTTCCGAATCTGAGACTCTTTGACAAATAATTGGTCGGAGCTGGAGGTATCATGGATGGGTCGTATTAAAAGGCTTATATTATTCCTAACACAAAAAAGTATAAGGTGGAGTATCTTACATACGCTTTTCAAATAGTCCTATGATATGTCCTAAAAGGAAGTAAAACAACAAATAATAGTGCAATATTGCCTATACAAGAAGTAGCAGAAATTGAATAAAGTTCCAGCAAATGCAAACTCACAAAGGTGGAGCCACTATGAATTGGGCTCAGATAATTCGCCTTGTGGGATGTGAAGAGTCCCACTCCCTTCTCTGTATCCTGAGATCTTTGTTAAAGATAATCACAAATTCGCAGAAGGAATGTGATAAAATAATACAGAATTTATTTAAAAGTAATAAAACAATATAGAAGACCTTACAGTCTCTGTAGGGTAGTCTTGATAGCAAAACGCGTTTCGCCCCTTCAAGGGGCTTCCTCAGTTGCTGTGAATGTTCCTTAGTTTCTCTTCGTAATAAAAAGTCAATTCTTGCCGCCTTTTTCGTCGTTTCTTCTTTTCCGGCTCGCCGAACTTCCGGTTTCCGGTCTTTGCGTTCCACCTTTGGAACGCACCGCCGACGTTTAGGAATTTCCTGTAGAGCGTCGGTCTCACTTTTCTTCCGGTTCCTGCGTTCCACCGTTGGAACGCATTTTAGTTATCTCCCAAAGTCTTTTGTTTAGAACACTTTACTCATTATACATTTTAAATTCCTTTGTCCTTTTTATGTCAAACTCCCTCCTCCTCTCTTTGTTCTTTGGTTGAGATTTAATGAGAATAAAAAATTTATATATAAAAACATATGATGATATAACATATAACAATCTATATATATGAAATAAGTAGTATGATCAAATCCAGTAAAGGGTGTTGTATATTATAGCTGCCACAGGGGGAAAGAAGCAGGAGGGCTTACACAGATTTTATTTTAATAATCTTATAGATGTGATAATACACTCCATTATTTCCTTTTAACTAAATCTGGGTATAGGTATAGGTATAAATGAGAATTTTCTCTAAAATAGCAGCTTTTGTTGCCTAAATGCAAAGATAAGAGCCCCAACATCCTTAAAAGTATACTTCCATAAAAAAAAAAAAAAAAAAAGGGGAAATAAAATAATCAAAATATTTTTCTTAGATTAAAAATGGCACACTTCAAAATCGACATTAAGACCATGCGGGGTGAGGGAATTAAACTCGAAAATATACTTCATTTCTTCTCTCCCTAATTTTCGGATATAATCTCCACCCCTCCAGTCCCTTTTAACCTCTTTAATAGCACAGAAAAATAAATTACTAGGGTCTTGATTGTGCTTTTCTTTAAAATGGAGTGGAACACTGTGGGTTTCTAACCCATTTTTAATATTTCTGATGTGTTCCGCGACTCTTACTTTCAGTGGTCTAATCGTTCTACCTATATATAATAGGTCACATGGGCATTTCAAAATGTATATAACTCCCTTTGTATGACAAGTTAAGTGGTCTTTTATACAATAGGGTTTTTTTACGATGTGTTCTATGTCTTTTAAGTGTCTTTTTTTTTGCTGTTAGTTGTTCTGCAAGGTAGGCATATTCCACATCCGTAAAAGCCTTTTAGATTCTCTAAAAAATGACTGGATTTTTTGGGGCTGAGGCAACTCTTGACTAAAATATTTTTAAGATTTTTTGCACCTCTATAGATGATCTTAGGTTTAGGTTGTAAAATCTTATTGAGAATAGGGTCATCTTGTAGTAAGTGCCAATACTTATTGATTGTTTTCCTTATTTGTTTGTTCCGTCCATTGTAGTTGCAGATAAAGGATGTATTACTAGTATGATCTTGCTCTTTTTTATATTTGTATTTTATGAGTTCTTTTCTTGGCATTTCCTTCACTTCTTTGATGTCTTTTTCTAAAGTTTCATTATTGTATCCCTTCTCTAGGAATTGTTGTTTTATATAGTTTGCCTGTTCTATATAATCGGATTCTTTTTTACAATTCCTCCGTATCCTTAAGAATTGGCCTCTTGGTGCGTTCTCCAGCCACGGGTTATGATGACAACTCTTTCTTTCTATATACCCATTTGCGTCCACTGGTTTAAAATAATTTTTAGTATTAATCTTCTCATCCTCTATATACATATGTAAGTCTAAGAAATTTATTTTCTCTTCACTGACACAGCTCGTTAAGTGAATACCCCAATCATTTGAATTAAGATATGTAATAAAATCGTTTAATTGATCTCGGTTGCCTGTCCAAATAAAAAATATATCATCTATGAAACGGCGATAGGACACCAGGTATGCCCCCCACTCGTGGCCCTGGGTGACGAATATCTCTTCCCAGAATGCCATGAATAGGTTTGCATAACTGGGGGCAAACTTGGTGCCCATCGCCGTTCCACAGATCTGAAGATAAAATTCCTCTTCAAACCAGAAAAAGTTATTAGTCAAAATTAAAAAAATGCCCTCTAAAATAAAATCTATCTGTTTGCTTTAAATATAATTTGGAAAATGCCCTAATAAAAGAAATGAAAACAAAATGGGAGATAGCAACTCTCAAAAAATACGTTAGGGATCAAATTACCCCAAGGGGTCTCAGATTTTTCAAAGACCCCAGTTTTGACAAAGAGGACCCACATTTCATGATAGGATGTAATAAGCTACTAGATGGCTTTTCATTCAGTACCATGGGATATATAGTGGCGAGAAGGGAGGAAAACCTTCCTAAGTTGGATGAAGAGATCACAAAATGGAAAAATCTCTTAATAGAATCCACAAGCCCCGAAATCTATAATAGCACTTTAAAGGAAATCAAGGAGAAAGTAGATAGGATAGAAACAGAGATTATAGATATAAAAAGAAGCAAATACCAGCGAGATAAAAATGATTATGAAACAGGAAATGTAAGGAATCCTAAACAAAGAGAAAATAACAATAAAAATAAGGAAATAAGAAGGAACTATAGAAAAAAATTCCCCCAGAATGCGTATAACCCACAGATGTGGAAACAAACAAATCAGGAGAGATCGGAACGTAAAGCCTCGAGAAGTAGGGGGAGGGAATTTAGAAGAAATGACAGGGAGACATCCTATAGATACTCACCAAAGAGAACCCCAAAAATAAAGGGGGGGGAATTTAATGGGAAGAGACAAAATTCACGGTTCATCTCAGAGTCACAGAACCAACCCATCATTCCCACTAGGAAAGGACCGCACTACGAAGGAAGACATATAACATTAGTAGGTGATCATACAAATAGAGATCATATTAACACTCAAGAAATAGGGAGACATCACTTTGCCACAAAACCTAAAATGTATAGTGATGCGGTTAAAGAAGGCTTGCATAACCCCCATAAAAAGAACCAAATGGGGAAAATATTGAACATGAGGCAAACCAACAGTGAGAAATCAGAATCCATCCTAACAAGAAATAGAGATAGAAGTAGAAGTACAAGCAAATCATTACCCCCAGATACTCCCCCGTCACCTTCTTTTTTTCGGAAGGATTTGATACAGAACAGAAAAAAGCGGACAAACGATGCACAACTATGGGACATGCAGGGAAAAAGACAAAGATCAATGGAAGAAGAAGAAGAAAGAGAAGAACTAGAAAGGAGTCACAGGGAAAAGAGGGGGAAAATATCGATTTGAATGGAATTTTTAATATTGCAGATAAACCACTAACTAAGGCACACATAGATATTTTAAAGAAAGGTTTAAAATTCGCCCCAACTGCTGATTTTAATGCTTTTAATTTCTTTATAGATATGAATCAATTTATTAGAAAATTATGTTTAAAGAAATTTTTTTATAATAAGACGGGACAGATACCAAAAGAAGATGATGGAATGGACGAATATCAACATACATCACTTAAAGAGAAATCACAATTTTTTCCCCGCCACCTAATCTCTCATGAAATAAAGACCTTTGAAAAAATGGTTATGATGGAAGTAAATAAATATAAAAAAGAGAATAAATATCAACAAAATTTAACAATAGGGGAAAAAAAAGCACTAAAGGAGATAAAAGATAACTCTGACCTGATAATCAAACCGGCAGATAAGGGAGGGGGTATCGTAATGTTTAATAGATCCCAATATCTGAAGGAAGCCACAAGGATCTTATTAGATTCTTCGACGTACAAAAAACTCACATACAATCCTCTGAAACAGACTATTAATGTATTTAAGGAATATATAGAGAAAGGGAAGGACCTAAAGATATTAAATAAAGAAGAAGCAAAATATCTATTTGTCATCTGTCCAAAAATTCCAGTTTTTTATCATCTCCCAAAAGTTCATAAAAACACCACGGAACCCCCTGGCAGACCCATAATATCAGGTATAGATTCTGTCTCTACAAGAGTGTCCGAATACATAGACACTCTCTTACAACCTTTAGTTGTGAAAAACCCAACATACCTTAAGGACACAATCCACATGTTGCAAATTTTGGAAAGCACAGTTTGGAAACAGGGTTACCTTTTAGTAACCTGTGATGTCACCTCCTTATATACCATAATACCACATGAGAAAGGGATGGAAGCAGTGCGGCATTTTTTATCCAAATCAGATTTTAAAAGCAAACAGATAGATTTTATTTTAGAGGGCATTTTTTTAATTTTGACTAATAACTTTTTCTGGTTTGAAGAGGAATTTTATCTTCAGATCTGTGGAACGGCGATGGGCACCAAGTTTGCCCCCAGTTATGCAAACCTATTCATGGCATTCTGGGAAGAGATATTCGTCACCCAGGGCCACGAGTGGGGGGCATACCTGGTGTCCTATCGCCGTTTCATAGATGATATATTTTTTATTTGGACAGGCAACCGAGATCAATTAAACGATTTTATTACATATCTTAATTCAAATGATTGGGGTATTCACTTAACGAGCTGTGTCAGTGAAGAGAAAATAAATTTCTTAGACTTACATATGTATATAGAGGATGAGAAGATTAATACTAAAAATTATTTTAAACCAGTGGACGCAAATGGGTATATAGAAAGAAAGAGTTGTCATCATAACCCGTGGCTGGAGAACGCACCAAGAGGCCAATTCTTAAGGATACGGAGGAATTGTAAAAAAGAATCCGATTATATAGAACAGGCAAACTATATAAAACAACAATTCCTAGAGAAGGGATACAATAATGAAACTTTAGAAAAAGACATCAAAGAAGTGAAGGAAATGCCAAGAAAAGAACTCATAAAATACAAATATAAAAAAGAGCAAGATCATACTAGTAATACATCCTTTATCTGCAACTACAATGGACGGAACAAACAAATAAGGAAAACAATCAATAAGTATTGGCACTTACTACAAGATGACCCTATTCTCAATAAGATTTTACAACCTAAACCTAAGATCATCTATAGAGGTGCAAAAAATCTTAAAAATATTTTAGTCAAGAGTTGCCTCAGCCCCAAAAAATCCAGTCATTTTTTAGAGAATCTAAAAGGCTTTTACGGATGTGGAATATGCCTACCTTGCAGAACAACTAACAGCAAAAAAAGACACTTAAAAGACATAGAACACATCGTAAAAAAACCCTATTGTATAAAAGACCACTTAACTTGTCATACAAAGGGAGTTATATACATTTTGAAATGCCCATGTGACCTATTATATATAGGTAGAACGATTAGACCACTGAAAGTAAGAGTCGCGGAACACATCAGAAATATTAAAAATGGGTTAGAAACCCACAGTGTTCCACTCCATTTTAAAGAAAAGCACAATCAAGACCCTAGTAATTTATTTTTCTGTGCTATTAAAGAGGTTAAAAGGGACTGGAGGGGTGGAGATTATATCCGAAAATTAGGGAGAGAAGAAATGAAGTATATTTTCGAGTTTAATTCCCTCACCCCGCATGGTCTTAATGTCGATTTTGAAGTGTGCCATTTTTAATCTAAGAAAAATATTTTGATTATTTTATTTCCCCTTTTTTTTTTTTTTTTTTTATGGAAGTATACTTTTAAGGATGTTGGGGCTCTTATCTTTGCATTTAGGCAACAAAAGCTGCTATTTTAGAGAAAATTCTCATTTATACCTATACCTATACCCAGATTTAGTTAAAAGGAAATAATGGAGTGTATTATCACATCTATAAGATTATTAAAATAAAATCTGTGTAAGCCCTCCTGCTTCTTTCCCCCTGTGGCAGCTATAATATACAACACCCTTTACTGGATTTGATCATACTACTTATTTCATATATATAGATTGTTATATGTTATATCATCATATGTTTTTATATATAAATTTTTTATTCTCATTAAATCTCAACCAAAGAACAAAGAGAGGAGGAGGGAGTTTGACATAAAAAGGACAAAGGAATTTAAAATGTATAATGAGTAAAGTGTTCTAAACAAAAGACTTTGGGAGATAACTAAAATGCGTTCCAACGGTGGAACGCAGGAACCGGAAGAAAAGTGAGACCGACGCTCTACAGGAAATTCCTAAACGTCGGCGGTGCGTTCCAAAGGTGGAACGCAAAGACCGGAAACCGGAAGTTCGGCGAGCCGGAAAAGAAGAAACGACGAAAAAGGCGGCAAGAATTGACTTTTTATTACGAAGAGAAACTAAGGAACATTCACAGCAACTGAGGAAGCCCCTTGAAGGGGCGAAACGCGTTTTGCTATCAAGACTACCCTACAGAGACTGTAAGGTCTTCTATATTGTTTTATTACTTTTAAATAAATTCTGTATTATTTTATCACATTCCTTCTGCGAATTTGTGATTATCTTTAACAAAGATCTCAGGATACAGAGAAGGGAGTGGGACTCTTCACATCCCACAAGGCGAATTATCTGAGCCCAATTCATAGTGGCTCCACCTTTGTGAGTTTGCATTTGCTGGAACTTTATTCAATTTCTGCTACTTCTTGTATAGGCAATATTGCACTATTATTTGTTGTTTTACTTCCTTTTAGGACATATCATAGGACTATTTGAAAAGCGTATGTAAGATACTCCACCTTATACTTTTTTGTGTTTGTATTACTTTGTGGGTGAAGGTTAAGGGGACCTCACCAGGGTGTTAGAGTTACTTACATACTTGCACATAGCTTGTATTGGGTCACTGTTATCTATTTTGTTATATTATTCCTAAGCTTTTATATATTTTTAGAGTAATTCTATTTAGGATATTTAGGATATCCAGAAGGATGTTTGGAGAGTTCGACCGATTGTTCTCTAGATTCGTATCGTGCATAAGAAAGGATTCCAAGTAGGACTATCAAACATAGCCTGGACCAAGATGGACTGGCCTATCTAGATATTAATAAGCTACAATACCGCTCAGATCTCACACACCCTAGCCTGGAACCGGACATCTGTACGTGAGGCCGGTTGGTGTACAATCGAGAAGCTTAGTTGTAAAGGCATACACCCATTTTCACTGTGTTGGTTAATATGTAAATACTACAAAAAGTTGGAAATTAAGGCTGCAATTGTTAAAAACATAATGTCCTCCTTATATTATGTAAAAAACCAAATAAAGTTTAAAAACTCTTTTTCTAAACTGGCACCTCTGGAAGTAATCTCAATGTGCTTGCCTGATGTCACCATAACAACTTGGATAAATAGTGGCATCCTGATAATTGAGGACCTATGTCTGAACAAAATTTTGGCCTTTTTTGCAACTCCACGTTGTAAATATGATCTCACGGCTCATGAGCTCTTCAATTATTTTAGGATTAAGTCCTTTCTTATATCAAATCCTCCTACGCCTCCACAGGCGTGGGAGGATTTTTTGTCTCCAGACACTTTGAAAAACAGACCTTAAGATTTTTTGATTCCAATACATTGATTGAGAAACCCAGGGCTTTCCTGCAGTGGGAGTTAGACAAGGGACAGTCTTATCCTTTGCAGATTTGGTTTAAAGCCTGGTGTACCACCAGGAAAGCAGTTCAGATTTGCATGAGCAATTTTTTAAGCTTACTCACCGATGGTATATGGTTCCATATAGATTGACTAAATTCCAGCTGGGCTCTGATAAATACTGTTAGATATGCCAACTTGAGCTGGGCAGTCAATTTTCATTTTGGCTGGCATGTGGCTGCCTATATAAACTTAAAGGTACACTTACAAATTTGCTTAGAAATGTATTCAGACTTAGTTCAGAATTAACCCCACAAACATTTCTTGTCCATCTAGATATTCCAACACTTAACAGACATCCGTCCTTATCAATGTCTTGCTCGCATTTAGGAAGCAGAAAGACCTCGTTGCTAGAGATTAAAGCCCAAATTGATTTTCCAAAAAATACTTTTATAATGACGATGAGCCGAGAATTAATTTATACAACAAAATCTGGCATCCATGGTCAACTCTTACTGCTAAGATCTGACCCCCGCATCGCTCCGACAATACAGGCAAGCAGGTTAGGTCTGTCAAATTTTTCCATCCGGCAGCTGGGCCGGTGGCAATTAAGCAGGTTTCCATTGTATGTTTGTCCACACCTTTTATAGTTGCCTGGGAATGGTTAATGTTCTGTTTATTTCTTTATTTCTAGTTATTCTTTTATTTATTGGGCCGCTAGTCAGGCAGACCAGAGGTCGGATGACCAGAATCTTTGGATTCCTCATCACCAGGTGAAGGTTAGGTGGTGTGGGATCAGCGGGTCTCTCTGGCAGCAATTTT